AGTATAACGTAAATTACAAAATTACCCTCTGGAATGATATATATTATATATATATATATAGGCTACATACAAGTAATTTGTTCATCCATGACTGAAATGAAAGTTTACTTTACTGAAACTAGAAAAGCTCCCCCCCAATATAAAGCTATCTTCAGTCCAGTGCCTCACCATTACAGGATGATTTTAATGTGTAATCCAAACTGCAGACTACACTGGCCTCAACAAGTCAGGTAGGACATCACACTGCTAAGCTTCACGTCTTTGTTTGACAGTTTTACATTTATAATGAAACTATCGGGGCTTAAACCTTGTCTTTGGGTGACACAAAACAATAGGATATTTATGTTTAGTTGTGTCCTAAACTGAACTCAAGGTCAGAATTATGACATTATGGTTTGTCCTAAGGGCATGCATGTGGTGTGAGACTGAAACACTGGAGCACTCTGTCACTCTTGACCTTCAGGACATTGAGCTGCTCGCTGACAGGGTTTAAAAGATCAGAGAATGACGTGAAGATGAGTGGAGATCTTAAACAGCAACCCCTGCTGCTCATAAGCCACAATCATCCTCCACTGGCTGACCCCCTGACCCCTGGGGAATTTCAAGTGTGGCGATTTGGACCGACAAGGATGGTGCACCACGTCCACGACCTTCATGTGGCGGACAACTGATGCAGTCGCTTCTAATCTTCTAATCTAAAGGAGCTTTCTTTACGATACCAAGATCCATTCATAAAGGCAGTGGAAATAAGCATCATTATTTCCATACTAGTGATCCCAGTGAATGATTACCGACTCTTGTTTAGTTTTATTCTGTGTACCAGACACTGACAACTATAAAAGCCTGCTCAGAATTTCCTCTGAATCTGCAGCCCTGCGTGAGTCACAGTATACATGTGCTCCAGATTTCACCTGAGTGTTGGGGAATACTGGGACACTGTTGCCATCTAGTGGTGTCTCTGGAAAAGACACCTTACTGCTTGAGGTTCAGAGCCCACATTCTGTTAACAGCTCAGTCTGCTTAAAACTCTACTTCATTTGTTTATCACATATTACGACCACGTTGAATTCCTTGCAGAATCATACAATCAAAGTGGCACATGATCCTGAACTAGAAGTGCTAAAAGCTGCAAAGATTACCGAATGAACATCCTCCTTCTTAACTTCAGCAATCATGCGTATTTTCTCATTTGGCATCTGATTTCTTTGTGTCAAGGCCTGGAATTAATAGGACATTTAAAATGACCTTATTTGTCCACTGTGAGCGGCTGTCTGAAGGTAATATGGCTCATTTTACATCCTTGGTGGGGAACATAGCTTGGCGACTTGAATTACCTTCCCCTCAGCTCGTCTCCCAGTGAAAATCCCATTTTCCCATACGGTGATGGTGCAATGTGCTGAGCTTGGTGATATCTCAGGGCCCCTCCACGGTGGAGGAGGGGAGCTCAGACATGCTTACTGCCTCCCTTTTAGAAACCATCATTTCAGCAGGATCGATAGTACGTCCCACTCCATGGCTGCCAGAGTGCACTGCCTCTGTGGGGGGTGGGTCGGGGGTAGGGGGTGGAAGTATGTGTGGACAGCTGCACCAAGGCAAGTCCGAGCAGCACACGCAGCCAAGGTGAATGATCGCATGCTGCGTCAGACACTCGGCTCCTCACTTGTTCTGAGATGCAGTTTCTGAGGAGGACCAGTGGGTGGATGCTGTCCTCAAGTGGTGGTTGCAGTTGCAGGCAACATACGGATGAAGCCACAGAAGTAGTTCAGCCATCAGGTACTTCATGTTCCCAGTCTTCTGCCTCCCAGCTGACACACAAACCTGCCCTGAGATGAGCACAGATCTGCAGCCGATGCAGCTTGCATAAAATCCTCCCGATGCCTTTTTTTTTTAAATCGTCCTACACCTCTTTGACTGTATTGGAGGTTGAGCACTCAAATAGATTCGTGCTGTAGGTGAGAAGACATCTCATGTTTCAGTGGATGGCTTGCAATATAAGCCCTGTACAGTCTAGCTTTGTAAGGCAGAAATGTTTGGACATGGATAAAAATAAATCTTTACCAGTTATTAGAGTAGTGTGCATGGACAGCGAGGGTTAGAAAATCATTCACTCTGGCAATACAGACCTCTGGTTAGTTATTTATTATAACACAGGATTGTATATTGTTGCTGTTGTTAATGAGGCCCAGCGAGGAAACGTTTTAACCAATATAGTCTCTCTTTCTGAGAGAATTGTAGCCGACAATTATGGTGAACAAACTGTTAATCAAATTTGTATTTCTGACAGATTTGAACACACAAAATGTACAGGATGCCTGCAACTGATGATTATGTTCATGGTGGATTAATCCGTTTCTGAATGAATCAATTAGTCTATAAAATGTCTCCCAGAACCAAAGGTGATGAATTAAAATGTCTTGTTTTGTCAAAATAACAGTGAAATCCCAAAAGATAATTCAATTCACAATGAAACAGAAGAGCAGCGAATCCTCACACTGGAGAATCTGGAACGAGCAAAGGCTTTTTTGTTATGACGGCTGATTGATTAACAAAGTAGTGGTCAGTTCAATGAATTGATTAATTGTTCCAGCTGTATTTAATAAACACATATAATAAAATATAAAACACTACTAAAGCATTAGAAGGATAGTTTACTTGGTATAACGGTTTAACATGTCGTCGAAAAAGCATCGGTAGAAATGCGCAGGCTTGTATTTACTCACACTTTCCGCCGTGAACCACGTACATGCGTCAGCAAACATGTATTTAACGTGTGCTGTACTTGTTTGACTTTGAGAAGAGCTCTCGCTGGTTGAGAGTAAGGAAAGGGCGTCAGTGAAGAGAGGTGCACCACTGCGGGACAGGGGGATGTGGATGGGACAGGATGTGTGGTGCAGTACGAGCATCCCCTCTGCTCAGATCGCTGCTCATTTGTCAAGTTGCCTGCAGACTTGAATGGTGCATTGCTGCTAAAACACAGAGAGGCAATCAGCAGTGGAACAGCACACCTCCAGGGAAGGGTTCCAGGTGGAGGAGAGCCTCCTTTGGCGGTCTGCAGATTAAGGGGTCTTTTCCTCGAGAGCACATGGCAGAGGGTCAAACTGAAGACAGATTTGTATTGTTCTTACAGAATTGTTTCATACTGAGGGACATTCGCATACCTTTTTTACAGTGAAGAGAGAGGAGCAGCATGGCTGGCATATTCATCAAATCCACCCTTAGGCCACAGAAAAATGTTATTTTGGAGTTTGTTCTACTTACAGTTTGCTGTCAGAAATGGACTAAACTGTCTAAAGTGCAGCATCCCCCTGAGTGCTGCAGGGAAACAGAAATCATAGAACGATGAGAACGAAGGGTGAATTTTTAAATTTTCCACTTTTACAACAAAACATCCTTTTTCCAGTGTGGTTTCGATCATCCAGCAGACTTTATTGTCATTAGTTTGTCTTACTCAGACTCTGTCTTTGCATATTAGCAGCACTGAGATGTTCTCCATACTGGGACAAGCGTCCAAGCCGAGAGGTCACAGCGTTAATAGCAGCCCGGTTCTGCTGGTGGACGTGGCAGTAGACAGGCAGACCTGCGGAGATCATCCTGCGGATCAGAGCCAGAGACAGAGACAGGAGGTGCCCGGCCCGTCTGTACTGTGGAAGGGTGTAGGCCATCCTCAGCTCACACAGCTCATCAGACAGCATCCAGGACACGGGCCGGCTCTTCTCATCTGTCACACAGTGGTTTGGCAGATGGCGGATACAGGCTCTCACGTGGTTGAGGCTCTCCTGGCTGCCTCCATAAGGCAAGTGTGCGTCCACCAGCTCAGCGTGGGACTCGTCCAGAACGGAAATTGGCAGCGGGAACACATTCCTGGGTCCAGAGAGAAAGGTGTAAACAGAAATCATGAACATGAATCAAGGAAAGCCATATTTTCTAATCTTCCTCATCAGCTGCGAAAAATAACGGAGCTGTCTTAAACTGAGGTCACGAATACGTTTCAGAAACTCACTCTTGCCAGTCCGTATTCTCGGGGATGTGGTGGATAAAGGTGTTATAACCTCCATATTCTGTGATATCAAGCCCACTGAGAGAGGCCAGTTCTTTTATGAGATGACAATGTGAGCTTGGTATACCTTTCAGAGACACAAAAGCAATGTTGCTTTAATTAATTTACCTTCATCATCATAGCAAGGGATGCACCGATCCAGATTTTTGTTTCCCAACACCTTTTCCAATACCTCAACTCAGGGTATCTACAAATACAGAATACCAATCCAGGACTCTGTTTTTCTCAAATTTAAAATCTGTATACCATACTGTATGAAACTGGTTTAAATATTTTTTAAATAAGGTAACATGAGGCTAGGGATTGAATGTAACTGACAGCAAAGATGTGTTTTTATACAGAAAATGATAAAGTCAGTATCAGTGCTATTATTATTCCACTATATCAGATTGGTGCATCCCTAATCATATCATGGGCCAACAAAATTACATGTTAC